AAACATGGAAGAACTCTGGTTCATATATAGGCCTAATGACGCCATCATTGATGTAAATTTTAAATTCTAATGTTTAAGTTAGTCGCAAGATGTTGGCAGGTTCTGATTTCTCCCTGACTGGCCTGTTTCCCCCTGGAGTCCCTGTTTCATGCTTTAAGGGATGGAGACAGCGGTGCTGGACACAAACCTTGGTTAAACTGGCATTAAGGTTGAAAGTCAATATCAGTAATTTAAGGCTTAAAACAACCTGACAATGCTATCAACATCAGAAATCCAGGGAAATCAGCATTAAGGTTAAATTTTAAAGAATCCTGAATAGTTGAAAGTAGGTATGGAAATGCACAACTGAGGCACTCGGATGACCTTAACTCTGTCCCTGTTAGTGGCGCTCCTGTTAGATAGGCCTGAATCAAAACCCCACCTACAATGACCCCCAAAATCTTGTGGTGGTTGAAATCTGGATCCAAATTCTGCAGCTAGAGTCCAGTTTGAGTGGCGCCTGCTGGACTCTGCAGCCGGCAAATCACTGCATTCCCAGCAGCATGCTGCATCTAAATTCAGTGGCAAAGAGCCATTGGTTTCTGTAGCAACTTTGGATACATTTAAAAAATGGCGATGAAGGGTTTTCTTGAGTTTGTTCTGAAAATGAATAAACCCAGGCAGTACAGTAACACCTGCGATGTTGGTCTGACATCATGGTCAATTATCTTTGTGCTGACCCGTAACTGTTAACTTTCAAAGTGCTGCTATATTTTTGCATTGAAAATGCAGACCTGTGGGTTTGTTAGTGGGGAAACTGGAGGGTTTAACTGCTGGCTTTGGGGCAGTTAGAGCTTTCGGAATATGGGAGGACATTAGGGGTTTTTGGGTAACCGTGTTAATTGTCTGTTAAAAACTGAGCAGTGAAATAATTTTGTGTCAGCACTGTTAACTTTCCTAATTAGGTTTTAAAAGTTAACACTCTCCAGTGACATATGTGGGAGCAACTCACACCTCTCAAAGCTATTGTTTGAGGCTGTCTGCAGACTCAGGCAGATGTTACTACACTGATTAAACTTTTATCTGGAAGCTTTTTTTCTCACAACCATAAGGTCTTAGACATTTTTTATTACAATGAAAGTGTAAAACAGTGACTCTGGGTGAGTCAGCAGAGGGGTTCAACCCTGGAACCTCTGGATCTTAAAGCAAGAGCCTGTACTGCCTGTGCTGAAAGATTCAGCTCTAATAGCCAATGGTGTAGCAGACTCAACCTCTTTATGTGGTCCAGCCACGATGAGACGGGCAGAGCACCACGCTGAGTGTGCATGGGTTATAAAAGCTTTGTAGAGTACAGCTTTACAGCAAGGGGTGGGTTCCCCAGCCGATTCCATGAGGAATCATGGACTACACAGGCCACTGCCCTAAGGGCTACAAAAGTGTTTCCATTTTAACCTTGTCTTCTCTTGCTCATAATGTACTGAAACATTTGCCTTTTGGGTTGCAAGGTTCCAAGCTTGGGCCAGTTTGCACACTTGCGTATGCAGGTCTGTCTAGTCTATCAGTCACCTCATCCTCCACTGTTGCTACGTGGGACTGACTTCGCTTTTAAGGAAGACACATTTTGGTGCCTTCTTGGTGTGACAGGGACCCTTTTAAACATCGGTTTGTCTGGAGGTTTTGGGCTTTTCTGGTGCATTCCCCCTGTTACTCAAGCTATCTGCCCAGGGCACGGACAGTCTCTCCCTGCCCACAGACTGCTGCCGCTGGGTTGCCTGGCTGACATCCAGGGGGGGCTTGCTGTAGTACCATGATTTCAGAAGCTCATTCATCTGCTCCTGGTCTGTGATTCCCCGCAGGTGATCTTCTTCCCCTTCTCCCCGGTCGGCCTCCTCCCTGGGCGCATTGAAACGCCGCAGTTTGATTTCCTGCTGCATGCTTTCGAAGAAGTGGAGGATGCACTTGTGGGCGAAGTCCCGGGCATGCTCGCAGCAGGTTTCGTCGAAGATCTTTTGCTCGATGTCGATGTAGTTGCTCCAGTAGCGTGTCTGCAGGAAGGCAGCCTGATTAAAGCAGGGTCTGAGCGACCGGGCAAGGAAGGCTACCACAATAAGGATCAGCAGAACACTCCAGCCAAGGGCCTGGGCGATAAGGAAGGAAGCATTGAGGCAGGATGAAAGGCACCGGGAGTGACACTGACATCAGTGTAATATACTTGCTGTTTGCCTGTATAACCCTTAGCTCAAACCGAGATTTTAAGCAGGAGTGGGGAAGTGGGAAGATGTCTGGGTTCTGGTTCAAGTTCTAGCCTGGGGTCGCCAACCTTCCAGGACTGTCCTGGTGTCTCCAGGAATTATAGATTAATCTTTAATTCAAGATTATGTCATGTGATGAAATCGCCAGGAATATGTCCAGCCAAAATTGGCAACCCAATTCTAGCCACAAAATCCAGCCAACTACACCTCGAAGAGTTTATACGCCATGGGAAGGCTGAGCCCTTCTAGAGCCCCGTGAATGGCCTAATGGGCATAGGGCATTTTATCCACCCATCGCTAATCTACAGTTGAGCACAACTGGAGTTCCTAATCAGGCGAGGGCTGGAAAGGGGTGGGAGTGGGCATAGGCCAGGTCTGACAGACCTTTGTCAAGGTTAGTCCCTGCAGACCTGGTGCTGGGCCTGCCTTTTACAGGGTTGCCAGCAGGGCCGTCCTTACTCATACGCAAAGTACGCAGCTGCGTATGAGCAGGAAATTTGGGGCACCTGGTGCCCTGCGCAGCTGCGTGCTGCTTCAGCCCCTACTCTGGTTCTTCCCCCCCCGTTCCCCCGCCGCAGAGGCCTGGGGCTGCGTAGGGCCCCAGAATAGCTAGGGATGGCCCTGGTTGCCAGGTATCTGGTCTGACCACTAGAATCTCCTAAAGCCTAGACGATTTTCAGTGCACGTACAATCTCAGGTGTGTGTGTATAATGGGATGGAATGTCAGGGGGGGAAATTAAAGCACCTGATTATCCCCCTGATGTACATTGACCACCCACATTAGCTTCAGTGAGAGTTTCTTGCAAATCTGAAGGGGTAGTTGGCCCCCAAGAGTTCATAGAAATTAGGAGAAGTCAACTCCGTCGTCAGTGAATTGTCCGGAGTTTGCAAGGAGCTATGACACACGCTCCTGAAAAGGCTCAAAGTTAAACCAGCTGTAACTTCCTTTGAGAGAAATTGATTAACCCTTGGCTTTTCACTAGCATTACTCCATCAGATCCCCAGCCTGATGTATGATCTTTGTATAGAGCGGTGGACTAACGTACAGGATTCCTTGGGTCTGTTCTTAGCTCTGCCATAGACTCGTTGTATGGACCTTGGGCAAGTCACTTCACCTCTCTGGGTCTCTTTCCTCATAAGGGAGTTGTGAGATTTAAAGTTTGTAAAAGAGTTGTAACCTCCTTGATTCTTAATTAATTTAATAATAATTTTTTTTTAATTAATGGAGATATCCCATTTCCTAGAACTGGAAGGGACCTTGAAAGGTCATTGAGTCCAGCCCCCTGCCTTCACTAGCAGGACCAAGTACTGATTTTTGCCCTAGATCCCCAAGTGGCCCCTCAAGGAGGGAACTCACAACCCTGGGTTTAGCAGGCCAATGCTCAAACCACTGAGCTATCCCTCCCCCCAAAAGCTTCTGAAAAGGGCTTTAGAAGAAGAGCATATCACTATTTTTGGTATGAACATCCTCATTTTTATTCACATTTCTAAATCACCAGTGCCCCCCAGAATCTAGGTGCCAGTGCTTTTTTCTACTACCCAACATGGGGGGACTCCTGCGGAAATGATCATGAAGATGGTATTTCTGAATGTCAAAGAAATGGAGCTCAGTTTGGTTCCCACTTTAGTCAGTGCCAAAACTCTCCCTGACTCCAGAGGAGTAGGTGCAGGCTTGTGGTTCTTTGACCTGTTCTACAGACCCTTTGAAAGGCTCCCAGAAAAACCTCTGACTTACTTGTGACCAGCATTTCAGGTACCTGGAGATCGCCTTCCTGGCAGGGTTGTTCTTCACGAGCTCGTCATCTTTGCAGGGCACTTTGGAGAGCAAGAGCTGCGTCTGGGTCGGGGTGACGTTGGCAAACCCCACAAACTTTTCAGGGTCGACGGAGGCGCTGAAAGCACAGACGAAGCATTTCCCATCAAGGAGGGTGACGATGATCCAGATGACGGGAGCAATCATGGCTCGCTGCATGATGGAGGAGCACATGTACCTGTGTGCAGGAGAGGGAAATATGAACTGGTGTCAGCCTGATGTCCCTGGAGATGAAGCCTTCTACTTATCCACAGAACTGAATTGGCACAGGTAGCAATAGTATTGGCCAAGGAATACCATTTAGCCCAGCTTGGCTTTTGCCAGCATTTTTCCAGCTAATGTCTTCTCTGTTCTTGAATCTCTGCAATGATGTTGTCTTGACCCTTTCTTTGGGAATCTATTCCATTGCCTAAATGCTCTTCGCATACTGACCAAAGTAGTAAGATTATGCATGGGTGCTGCGAGTATCTGTTATTTAAGGTTTCATCAAGAAACAAACAAGGATTGTGCCTGATTAAGGATACTCTTGCATATTCCGTGCATGATTCTCTGTCAACTCCCTTTCCTCTCTTCCCTCTTTCTCTCCCCCCCTTCAGCCCCTCCCTAAAATATCACCTCTGCTCTTTCACCCCTTCCTTGCGTCCATCACGTCTAACCCCCCCCCCGCAAAAAAATTACTACAATCATTCTTGCTTTAGTTTATAAACATCCCCATAAAGTTTAAAAAAAAACAATAAAAAACCATGCACAATGAATCGAAATGACCACACAATTGTCTTGCTGGAACTTCCCCCAAGAGCACCCCCCCCCCACCCATTTCCTGTTGTCTTTACTTTCTGTAAAGACTACAGAAAATATTGTCTTTGCTTGATCCTGCAAATGCTTACTGCTGTGATTAGTCCCACAGAAGTCAGTGGGAACATTGCTCACAGGGGGAAGTACTATGCCTGGTAGGGAGTATTTGCAGTCTTGAGCCCTTATGGCGGGGTGGGCAAACTTTTTGGCCTGAGGGCCACATCGGGGTTCCGAAACTGTATGGAGGGCCGGGTAGGGAAGGCTGTGCCTCCCCAAACAGCCTGGCCCCCGCCCCCTCCCACTTCCCACCCCCTGACTGCCCTCCTCAGAACCCCCAACCCATCCAACCTCCCCTGCTCCTTGTCCCCTGACCGTCCCTTCCTGGGACCCCACCCCCTATCCAACCCCCCTGCTCCCTGTCCCCTGATTGCCCCGACCTCTATCCACACCTCCGCCCCCTGACAGGCCCCCCAGGACTCCCACACCTATCCAACCCCCCCTGTTCCCCGTCCCCTGACCGCCCCCCAGAACCTCCGCCCCATCCAACCGCCCCCCTGCTCCGCGCCCCCTTACCATGCTGCTCAGAGCAGCAGGACTGGCAGCCGCGCCGCCCGGCTGGAGCCAGCTACGCCTCCGCGCTGCCCAGCAGGAGCTCACCACCACGCCGCCCAGAGCACTGGTGGCACGGCAAGCTGAGGCTGTGCGGGAGGGGCCAGGGGCTAGCCTCCCTGGTCGGGAGCTCAAGGGCCGGGCAGGACGGTCCCGCGGGCCAGATGTGGCCCACGGGCTGTAGTTTGCCCACCTCTGCCTTATGGTATAAGGTCTTCCATGTTAATTTCTTCTATTTCTCTTTAAAACACCATGCATATTTCTGGGGCTGAGTAGGGAGCCAGGGTTTGCCACCTTTGCTCACGCTGGGCAGCACCGTGCTCCATGAGTCGTCCCGTTGATTTCGTGGAGTAAGGTACTACGCTGGGCAGTTTGAGTCAAGGTACCACAGTCTGGGCCTGGACATTATCCTCATTTTTGGATGGCATCTAAAACTGGACTTGCTGGAAACAGGATGAGGAAAAATGCTTCTGGTGCAAGACAATAGTTTGTGAGGATCTCTGAGGTACAGAAGGTGGGGAAACTTCCCCTGGTAGTAAACCCTCTGTAAAGACTTCAGGAATGTAACATTGCTATTTTCTATTGCGGTGAGGGGAAGAAAAATCATACTCAAACCCCAGTTGTGCCAAAAACTGCTGTTCTGTGTCTGTATTATCTATCCATGGAGTTACCAACACTGAGCTGCAATTGAGTGTTTAATGCCATTGGACATCCTTTAATCATTTATCCCTTGTGCACTCTTCACTAATTTTATTAAGTTTCATGAGCCTGATTCTCCTCTCTCTTACACCGGTGTAAATCAGGAGTAACTCCATAGAATTACATCGGTGTGCATATGGAGTAACTGAGGTCAGAATCTGAGCCTGTGTGTCATTTTTTTCCCTTTAAGCCAGGGAAGTAAAGGCGGGGGGTGCTAGGGGCAGCAAGCAGAGAACTTTCTCTATTGTGTAGCCTAAATGTTGCCTTCCTTAGCTTCAGGCCACACCTGCTTGTGGTATAAATACATTAAAGATTGTGAAGCACTTTGAGCTCTATTGTTGAAAGGCGCTGTATAAGAGCTAGATATTAGTATTGTTATCTTTTTCCGGGACTCAGAATTATTCTCTGCCTTCATTTATATTGTGGTTACCTTGAAGGTATTCATAGAATCACTGTGCTCCCGGACTCACACAATCTGTTGTAAATCATCAGTGCCGAGCTCACTAATGAGCAGCCGGCGTTCAAGGTGTTTAAGAGGGAACTTCTAAGGAGCTCCGTTTAGGACAAAGCTAAGTATCAGGGAGATAAAGATGTAACAAACAAGAGGGCTGGAGGAGAGGCAAAGGGGGCAAAACGACTCACAGTGGTGAATCCCTCACCTGATGATGGCCAGATCCTTCTTTCTGCCCCCAGTAGGTCTTTTCCACTCCTCCAGCATCACCAGAGACTGTCTGTTGAGAATGAGACCACAGAGAAAGAGGGCCGTGGGGGGCAGAAACATGATCCCCAAACCGTAAGCCATGTTGTACTTGGGCAGGCAGGGGCAGTTAAAGTCAAAGGAAGTATACATCTTCACGCTAGCCAGGGCTAGCAGCCCACAGATCCCATTCATCACCGACTCAGAATTGGACTGGAAGTATTGGAAGATCATCCGGAACCGATCCATGGTGCTGTATTGGCTGGGGGCTGCTTTCCAAGGAGAAATCCCTGGTTAACTTCAGATTGATGAGGTGCTTGCTGGGGGCAGATGGGCACGGCTCTGCGACCCTTTTCTTGGGTTTTCTGGCTACGTGTGTTCTAATCCGTCTTGTTTCAGTTAGGGTTAGAAAGGCAGCTTAGTGCACTTGGATGGGCAAAGAGATAGAAACAGGAAAGCAACGTTGCTTACGGTGACACACAAAAGCACCTGTTGAGGACTCCTGTGTCCATCTAAATGGGACCAGATCAATGCAGCTGCCTCTCTTGTGCCTCTTTCCCTTCCAGGGTAGAATCCTGTGTGACGGCTCCTGGACACAATCTTTCCAGTTCAGCCTTTAGCCAGATACTTCCCTTTCATGGCAGGATGCAGTGGCTGGTTGTTCTACTTTCTAAGTAGATGGATACAGCCTCTGTGTGTTATTTTTCTCCCCCTCTTTCATCTACAGCACTTTAATACATGCCACACAGCAGCAGCCTGGAGGTAGGATAAGATACACATTCCCAGGTCATGGAACACTCGCTCTCCCCTGTAGAAAGAGTTGTCTCCGGATGCCTAGGAGCTATTCTCTCCCTCATCGATGATGTGTTGTCAAATGAGTCATCGCTGGTGATCAAGCTAGCTATTCAAATGAGCTTATTTGTCTACATGCCTCCTCCCTGTTTCTCTGCGTTAGCATGGTTGGCTTCTGTGCATTAGCTCTTAAGCTGTGACCCAGATGCTAGAGAGCAGGGGTGTAGGAGACAGAGCAAGTCCCATGCAGCACTGGGAATTGAACATGTGACCTTGGGCAAGTCACTTAATCTCTGCTTCAGACTCCCCATAGCTAAGCATAATGGTATTAACCTTCCCGACAGGGAAGTTGTGTGGATTCGTTGTTTTCAGATCCTTGGGTGGAACTTTGATCCCAGGCCTGTAATATCAACCAGTGGTTTGATCACATGGCACGGCATGTGGGCAACAATGGGGGGGCCCCATAGTTTTCCTTGCTCTGTCTGCAGCACCATAGTGTATTGCTACTGGCGCTTACACGCTGAGCAACATTGTTCCTTGTACTCCCCGTTTGTATCCACCTGTTGTCTCTTGTCTTTTACTCTGAGTGTAAGCTCTTTGGGTCAGGGACTGTCTTTTTGTTCTGTGTTTGTACAGCACCTAGCACAATGGGGTCCCACTCCATGACTAGGGCTCCTTGATTCTATGGTAAAACCATTGCCTAATACTATTGCAATATGTGCACATAAGCTTACCATGCAAATGTTCAGATAACAAACCATGGCCATATATATACAGCCCACACATGGTCTTCATCAGGAATCAAACCTTTGAGACCGAAGAGACAGGCCTCTACCTCTTGGAATGAATGAGACTTTCTTTCTCGGGTATGCTACTTTCTCACGGGGAGTTATGGTCACATGCACTAGTCTAGTGCAACATGACTTCACTGTGCTGGGCCAGCATTTAAACAGTTGCAAGGATCAAAGCTACAAGTGTTGACGCTTGGAATTTTAATACAACCTGCCCCTGCTCTCTGGAAAGTAAACAGAGTATTCTGGAAGGTCTGATTTCTATTTTAACACTGGATTTAATTATTTCCAGGCCCTCATCTTCAATTAGAAATAAGGAACTGAACAGCAATTGGGTGTCCATCCCCTTTAATTCTGAGATAACCCAGTACCCCTTTAATATGTTTTGTTTTGTTAATATTAAGCCTGAATCTCTCTGTATTGGATGCTTTACACAATGCTGCTCTTGAAGTAATACTGTGGATGTTCAGTCTGCAGTGTGGGTCTTCAAGCTATGTTCTGCACTTGAAACCAGCCTTAAGCTTCCATTAATGTCAATGGGAACGCTTCATGCGCAACGAATCCAGACTTGCTAGGGCAGAGTTGTAGAGCCAAATGTGGTGCAGCTAGCTACAGTTGTTATAGCCTGATTTTCTCTGTATTGCATCTTTTACATTTCTAGGGTGTCTGCAGTGGCAGTTGCCATTTTGTGTAGGCGAGCAGATGCAGCATGTTACAGAGGGAAGACGCACACTGTTCTTGCCTGGAGGCTTTACTTCTGTTCTTTCTTGTTTTGCTGTCTTTCCTTTAACCTAAACCACATCATTTATACTGAAAGTATCTGGATGGTCTCTGTGTATTGAAAATCCTAACACTTCTAGCAACAGCTGGACAGCATGAATCATGGAGTGAAAGGTTGTCCTTAATTTGAAAAATTCATTGTGTGATACAATACCAGAATCCCAGCCCTTAGATATGAAAAACCACTAGCAGGTCTTAGTCAATTAAACTCTCCCTGGGGCCAATGCATGATTATTGTACATTTTCTATTGTTTTGCCCATCTCGTTTTAAATATTTCAAGTGATGAAGATTCCATCTGTTCCCTTGAGGCTGTTTTACAGCCCAGTAGGTCTTGGTAGCAAGTAGGTTTTTCTTCCTGCTATTCAGCCTAAATTTTTCCTTCCTGACTTTCATTCCAGACAGCTGAGTGTTCACCCTTCTTAGTTACAGCTCATGCTTCTGCAGGCGTTCCAAACACCACACTAGAACGTTTGCCTGTTTTGCAAAATGGGAAAGCAAAGCTCTGCCTAGCTAGCAAAGTAACCAAAGCAAATCAAGCTGCATTCAACAGAGGTACCAACAATTTCTTCTCACCCCATAAGATCAGCCAATTTCAAATGCTGAGTCAGCAGGCATGAGTCACCTGTTCCAGGAAGTATGTAGGAAGCTCCTTTACTGGACTAATCTGTTTGATATAATCAGTTTTAAAAAAGGGGGAAGGGTGAGATTGCCCCCCTATGTGTAGATAAGTCGTGTGCATTTTGGTGACACCAAAGATTGCAGTGCTATCCCCCTCCCACCAGGACACTATTTGCATCAACATACACAATTACTTTAATCAAAGACATATGCGCACAACCGTAATATTTATATTTTCCTTTGCTGCTGAAAGGAAATTGCTTGTTAATTGCAGTCACCAGCAATAAAAACTTGTAGCTGATCAGCAACAGCCTCCTCCATGCTGCCATTATAAGGACATTAAGGGGCAGCCTCAGCCCCGCCCTTACTGAACTCTGCAGGTTGTGTGGGCCTTTCCCATTTTCAAACCACTTTAATAGTGGCTGGGATTATTATTTCATAATGTGCATTTCTATAATGTCTTGGATTCAAAAGTGCTTTGTGAACTGTATGTAGAGCAGTGACTTCTTCAGACAAATAACTTCATCCTGCTGTAAAATGCAGTCACTTCTGGGGAAGAACACAGCAACTGTTGACTAGTGCCCACCAACATGAAAAAAAAAATTAGGAGACTGAGTGGCAAGAATCCTGTATCCAATCCAAACTGCAAAAGGAATTTTAGGTAGGCAGAATATAGTTACTCAGACTGGAGGTTTGGCCAGGGGGCTAGGGTTCTTGGAAAAGGTGCCGTCTGATCTCTGGGTATGTCTTCATTACCCGCCGATCCAGCGGGTAGCAATCAGTCTATCGGGGATCGACTTACCGCGTCTCGTGAGGATGCGGTAAAATCGATCCCTGATCGCTCTGCCGTCGACTCCGGAAATCCACCTCGGCAAGAGGCGGCAGCGGAGTCGGCGGCAGCGCGGCAGCGGTCGGCTTTCCCCCGTCCTCACCGCCAGGTAAGCCGACCTAAAATACGCAACTTCAGCTACGGTATTCACGTAGCTGAAGTTGCGTATCTTAGGTCGGAACCCCGCTGTAGAGTAGACCTAGCCTCTGTCTACATCTGCTCAGCACCTCTGTTTGACATCTTAGTGGTACTTAGAACTGGGAGAGGGTATTGGTGCTTTGTGGCAAAAACTGAACATTTCACAGTTTGTCACGAGAGAGGGAGAGAACATCTCAGGATGTGTAACATATCTATTAAACACGATTAAAAATTTAAACTAATTTTCAAAATTAGGCAAAATTAATTCATCCAACTAACTCTTATGTACAGTAAAAGTGAGGAGAGGAAACCTACCTGTCAGAATATCTGTTTAGATCTATGGGGAACTGTACTGAATCCACCAAGTCTGGACCTGGCAGTCCCCCCACAGGAATCTGCTCTGTGTTCCTCACCATTGTTTCTATCATTCAGAGTTTGTAACTCTACAGAAATGTTGCCTGTGACTCATGTGAGGGGAGCTATTTGATGTGGCAGAACAGGATGTGATGGAGGTCATTGTTAGCTACCAATGAGCACCCAGAAGCTATTATTCCTTACCACACCTGTGCGTGTGTGTATCCTGTTGGGGTGATCACACACGCTTTGATTCAATACCAAACAGAATCAAAGCATCGGAACAGGGAGGAGGGAAACAATTCTTTAATCATTTATGTGATTAAAATGTCAGACCTAAAAAGAGGGGTGTGTGTGTGTGTGAGAAAGAGAGAGAGAGGTGCTTCAGAGAACCCTGTCCATAACACACAAGCAGCAATCTCTCTTGCCTTTGGGAGCAAGGCTGATCTCATAAAGTGAGACTTGGAGGGGAGCAAAATGATGAAAATGTTGGCCCCTTACTGAAATTTAGTGGATTTTTTTGGCTGGCCATCTCCCAGTACCAAAAGAAAGGGGAAGAAAAGAAATCAGGACCCTGTGACTGACAGTCCCCAGGGCCAACGGGGAGAGGCCAGCACTCCAGGTCAGCCTGATTGACAGGGCAGGCAGGTCAATGAGGGAGTCAGGAGCCCATGGGGCCCGTCCTCCGTGTGAGCGGGAGCTGCGGCCTGGGCCAGAGTGGAGAGAACACCTCGGCGTGGGGACGCCCTCGCCCCTGTCCCAAGTGACCACGACAAGGTTGGGGGCTGAGCCCCCCAGGAATCCTGGCCCAGCCTTGTTGGGGTTACAAGGACTCTGCCCCACAGGAGAGTGGAAAGGGAGCCCTCGAGGGCAGGGAGGCCTCTGGGTAAAGGGAGTGGGCGCGAGGACTCAGATCCTTCCGCTAGCCCATTCCACCGGGATAGTG